GACACTCAAAACTTTCAAACTTAAATTGAAATACAATAAACTTTTGTTGAATTTCTTCGAAGGAATACACATGATCATGCCTATTCTAGAACATTTCAGTCTGTCTATGGCAGATGTCACGTGTTCCGATCTTGATAAACTCATCACTTATTGGTGTCCAAGTTTACAATGTTTGAAAAAGAAGAATGAGTTATGTCGATTATGTATATCCATCGATATTTCTAATATTAATACATCAAGAATTAAGCGCTATCAAAAATCATTCACTACTATTAGTCGTCAAAACAATGAATGTTTCACGGTCAAATGGATTAGTCAAATAAACTTGAGTGACTTAATTGAGACAATCACTTGAAATTTTTTTCAATTAGAGTGTGGACGCAAACCTAGTTCTTTTTTCCATCCACACTTACATAAGAGCAAAAAAAAATCAGAAAATTTGAATTTTTTTTCATGAATAATCATAAAAGCAAGAGTTAAAAGAACAATCGAATTGCTTGTTTCTGTTTTTATGACCTTCTAATTGAAGTTTGTGGTACTTTTAATCTTATTTGACAAAGTACAGGAGTTGTAAGTTCAATTTAGCTCTTCAAAAGAAAATTTTGAACAATTTCTGTATGATTTTATTTATTTTCAATAAATTTCTACATTTTTAAAAAAAGTCGTTTTTTTTTGAGTTTTCGCTTATCAAATTGACTAATGCGATAACCTGCGCATGATCAAAACAACATTGCCTGAAATGAGTAATAAAAGCAAATAAAACGTTTTTTTTGCTTTTAATATAAAAGATGAAGACGCATTGAAAGAAATGTGACAAATGATCTGTTTTTGTTTCAATGATTGTGTGGATAACCTGAAAATGAAACAAATAGTCTTTTGCATCATTATTTCAATACTTCTTGCTGTTTCAATTAAAGCTAATAATAATCCATGTATATTCAATTCCGATAATAATGCATTACCTTCAAATTGGTCCTATTCGAGTCTAGGCAATGTGAAACGTTGTTTTCAAGCTATACCAGTGAGTCATACGATAATGAATCAAACAATTCAACAATTATTCAATTCATTGGATTTTTATAGTTTTTTGAGTATAGTTCGTCAAAGTAATTCACCTTATTTCATGAATGTAGATCTTCGAAATGAATTAATCAATATCAAAAATCAATCAAAGATAAATTTTTATCAAAATGATTATGATTTTCATATGTCCATTGTAAGTTCATTTAAAAAATTAAACGATTTTCATACACAATATATTGCACCAAATGGCTATGCTAATTTTGTATTAGTATTACCATTTATTCTGGAATTTTCTCCTTCGACACAGCAAATCAAAATTAAAAAAGGAATTCAATTATATTCTTCTATTATTGGAAATAATTCAAATATGAATTATAATGATAAAATAGTAACAAAAATTGATAATATTCCTGCATTCGATTATTTCAAACAATTTTCTGATCAACATTCACTTATTAGTAAAGATAAAAATGTAAAATTAAATTCTGTTTTTCGAGAAGAATTTTGGTTACGAAATCTAGCTAGTTATCCATTACCATCAAAGAACGACATAACATTTACTATTTTAGACAACAATGAAATAACATTAACATTTCCTTATATTGTTATAATAACAAAGAAATTCGATAATCAAATTAGTTTAATGAATGAAAATATGTTTTCCTCGCCAACTATTTTTGATCAATCAATGGTATTGCATTATGTCACAAATTTCGAACATTTAAATTGGTATCATGAAAGACAAAGTGATGCTTTTGATTATATAATGGGTGATCCTACTGCTTATTATTATATTCATAAGAAAACAAAAACTATCATTATCAAACTCGAATCGTTTGATGAGCAACAATTTGAAAGTATAAAAAATGTTTTTCTAAATGCTTCTGGAGATACATTGATTATTGATTTGATTGGTAATCAGGGTGGTCACAGTTGTATTGCATATAGTTTACTTCATTATTTAGTTCCTGAATTTTTGAATTTAACTGTTTTGTACGAAGCATTCGATGGCAGAATAACAAAATCATTACAATCATTTTCAACAGCATTTAGTTTTTATCCGAATTCAATATTAAATCTTCAAACTGGTCAACCATTTACAAATTTGGATTGGATACAACCGTATGTTAATTATACAAGAGGAAATTCTACAGATGAATATTCGATGAAATCTGGCATTAATTGTGATGGACAAATATACGGTAGCGGAAAGTTTTGGCTTCGAAATAGCACTAGTAGAAAATATTTTAAATCGATATATGCCTTAACAGATGGTACATGTGGCAGTGCGTGTAGTTTATTTTTATCGAAATTAACATTTGCGTCTAATTTTAAAAAAGCTTATGGTCTAGGTGGTGGTTATGATGGAAATAGTTTATTTGAGAGTTCGAGTTATGCTGGTGGTGGTGCATTTGATTGGAATTTTATTGTTAGATTTTATAATCTTGTAGTTAGCGATAATGATTCGTCAATTAGTTATTTACCGACAAGTGCTTTCTTCAATTTGAATGTTTATGAACTCTATATCGATAAACTCAACGCTGACTATCCAAGAGAATTCGTTTCACAACTAATTGACAAACGAGTTTCGAGTTCAGACTATTTTAACTTAGAATCAGCTCTAGAAGAAATAATCAATGACGATAATCGACCAAATGGATACAATCCAATAATAAATAAGTCATTAAAAATAACTATTCTAAGTCTACTCATTCTAACATTAGTGTTTAATCCAATTTAAGGTATTGGTGTTGGTGTAAATGAAGTGAAATAGGTTCTTTATACACTTTCGTACCCTTACACTACTGAACATATGAAACTAAATACAAGATTATAGTTTTATTTGAATTCTTCATTTGTCTAGTTGATATTGATAATTTAGCTAATTATTTAGATTCAAAGACTTGTCTTTGACTCAATTAAACTTTCTAATATTCCAAATAGATTTTTAATAAAATTTTTCACTTGATTATTGAAGAAATATACCCATCCTACATCGGTTAAGCAAACTGAAAATCATAATGAAGATGTGCGCTAAATTAATGTCTACTTTTTAATGAAAGTCGTAGGCAATCGTATTGGTGTTGGAAGAAAGTTGTTAGTTACGTCTTTCGTCATCGGTGTAAGTGTCCTATCCAAGGGGGAAAAAGCAGATTTCAAGATTTCAAGATTCCCAAAGATTTCCAAAGATTTCCAAAGATTTGTAAAGGTTTCCAAAGATTTCTAAAGATTTCTAAAGATTTCTAAAGATTTCAATTTAAGAAAATCTGCATGCTTTGATAGATCTCTGCTTGAGAACTTGTTCAGTCTCATTTTATCCGCGTTGCTATTTGACTTAATCCTTCCACTGCAAAGAGAATCGTGTAAGATAAAATGACTTTGTGACCATGTTTTCGTGTCTTGATCTAACTGTTTAGTCACATAGTTGCATGTATTGATACAATTCTAATGCTTCAATGAGAACGATTCACGATGACAAATCTGAATCTGTGATTGGGTGCCAGAAAATTCGAACTTTATGTTTTTCATCCAGGAAACACTTTCTACACTAATAAGACTCTTTTGTAAAGTTTCAAAAAAGATAGTCAGGTTTGAGAAATTCAAATTCTTAATTGGCTTCTAACTATTCGTGATCTTCATTTGTCTTTGATAAAACTAATTATTGTTTCTCTGAAATACTGTGTGTCTACTGATAAATCATAGAGATGAATGTCTCGAAGCCTAATACAGACTGAAATTGTTCGACTACACTTATGTTTCGTCAAACTTTATAAGAAATCGATGTTTTTTTTTAAATAGATTTTCGTGGATGACAAAAGGTAAAACTAAATGGCATTCGCCTCAACGTATCACTTCTTCACTTGATTTTAACTGAATAAAGTATTAGGTGGAAAAATATTGAACTTGATATTTAATTTTAAGTTCCATATTAATATGCAATACAAAGAGTGTCTGTTACCATGATTCGCTTGACCATTCACCAAACTTGACTTAACCTTCGCCTCCTGTGACCTACTATATTCTCTTTCGAACATTGATTCTCAAGAACATGTGCTAATGTAGAAAGAAATATTTATTTTATTGCTTGGGACGATCATTTTGCGAAGACATCGTACTTTTCTATTTTCTGTTGACATCTACTAAAATGAATCTTGACGAACAGCAGCCAGCTACTATGCGTCAACATTCTCGATCCTCGTCAATCTCGATTCCTTAATTTTCCGTACGATTAAGATTTAATGTTAGGTGATTCATTTTCTCGTTCAACCAGAGATGGAGAATCTACCAATAGGTTGCAGCGGCGCTGCTGGGAAAAACGGACTTCTCGGCAGAATTTTGAGAAAAATTGAGAAGGGAAAATATCAGAGGTATAGAATCTGCTACTAAAATAAAAAACTTTCACACAAGAGGAAAATATTTCCCTCAGCAGTAGTAGTAGTGAGCATTTCCAAAAAAAATTAAAAATTTTCGGAAACTTGTACGCGCATGAGGGTAGATTCTGCACCTCTGTTTCTTACAGCCAATAATTTCCTAAAACTTTTACTGCAGTCAATAATGTTTCAAAAATTTCCTCGCACCCGCGTGCATGTAGACGGGCAGATTCTGCACATCTGATATCAACGATGGAAGTTGATAAGGTCCGAGTCATTAGTCATCAGTCGATTGAGACGGCAAGAAGCAGCAAAGTTGCCATCGCTATCGGATTACCTCTACGACTGAATAAAATGAACAAAAACAATACTAATTTTTTTGTAGTTCCATCTTATTCATTGAATAAAAAACTCATGAATCCATAAAAGAACAGAATTATTTTCTTTAACATACATTTTTAATGAAGAGATATTCTATCTCGTACGTTTGTGAAAGTTGGGGAAATTTTTCAGTTTTTTTTGTGTGCTGCAAGGGAGCTATGGCAGATTCTGCAGGCCTGCGTTCAATACATTTCCAATAGTACGAAGAAATCAATTAAAATAGGTTTCGTATTCTCAAATTGACTGTCAAATATATGTTATAAATAGAGTAAGATGGCTGGGAAATTTAACGCAGCATTATTGGCGTTTCAGTTTGTATAGTAGAAATATAAATCACAAGTATGCAACAATGACTCTTGTAAACTCTACTCTGACAATTTTTTTTGATAAGCCACTTATGGAAATCGGAAAATTATTATGTAAGATCTTTTTCTTTTGATTTCAGAAGCATTGTGAGATTCATATTCTTCGATTTCTGTGAAACAATCCAGCACAAGGTTTTCTCTAACAAAGATGACCTATCCACATTAATGCTCTTCTAAGCTGTAGAGACGTAGTAATGTTCCTGGTTTCGTACTTTACATTGAAATTCATTAAATAATTTATATTAAAAAAAACTTCTATGAACTGCTGACTTTCTTCTGAATCAGAAAAAGATGCTGCTTAAATTTAACAAAAGAGTGTTACTCTAAGTCTCGTTATAGGTATTTGGTTGATAGCCTGTCTGTTTGCTGCACACAGTAATTCCTATTTTCTTTCTATTCTTATGTAAGGTCTTTTATAACTAACCTAAGATATTGCGCCTCAGATGAGCTTTCATGTTTATTTTAAGCTTCATTTTCTATTTATGTATCTTTCTTTGACATAAAAACTTACGTTACTATGTAATTAACAAAAACTTACTCGTCAAATTCTGGCGCAGATATTCCATTTATTTTGAATATAACTTGGACCACTTTACTAAAATCCTATTCAGAAATTTAGCATGTCCATTTCTACAGGAATTTTTCATACACAATACGAGGGCATGAAACTTGAACAAAACTCTTTGTTCCTAATCTACCGACATAGTTAGATAATAAAGAGGAAAAATCATTGAGATAGTTTTGAGTAGTATTCCACACAACTTATGAAGACATACCAGATGCTGAATAGCTCCAATGTGAGCTTGGCTCTCTAGTGAACTTTCTAAAAGTTTGTGTGTAGTAAAAGACTGATTTTGCTCGCATGCAAGCTAATAAGCAATAATACTGTTCTTCTTAATATCTTTAAGTATAACACATTCCTTTAAAACTTCAAAATTTTGAATTCATTGATTATTCTGTACAAAATAATCATACAGTAATATGGTAATGTTAGTCATTTCAAAGTATTAGGATTGAATCTAAGCTTATGCTTCAATCTCATCATAAGTCTAGCAATGATAATTTCTTTTTACTAATGCTCACTTTCCAGAGTCATAAATATTTCTTGATACTGAGATTAAATCTTGAGTATGACTACGTCATTAAGATGAAAACTGCGATGGAAATTCTGCAAAGTCCATATTCTATTGAGAGTATTTCTGAACCAGAGTATATGCAGCAATTCCGAGTAAGTCTAAATTTTTTACTAATTATTTCTAAAACCAAACCTAATTATAATCTGCATGAGACAATATACAAGTTGATGAAGATGGACATTTCATCGATTTAGTACTCCAAAAATATTTCTTTGAGCTCTTTTTTTTTCATGAAATATAAAACTTTTGAGGTTTTGTTAATATATATATAAAAGAATAGATGTCCATCGGTGCCTCTTTTACTCTTCATTTCGCAGAACTCTAATAACGTAAAACATACATCCGGCAAGACTATAGCAAACTAGACTTAGTGGCCCGTAGTGAATTGGAATCTAAAGCCCAAATTTTCGGCGTCTAAACAAGATCTCATTATTAGATTAATACTATTTGGACTACCGTTTACTAAATGAAAGATAAGTAGTTTGGCTATGGATAATAGTGGTACATTTTACGATCCTCATTTGAAGCAAAGAGTTATTTCTTTATACTTGTGAAGCTTCGATACAGATCTCAACCATGGGAGAAAGATTTGGCATTAGGGTCGTAAGAATAAAAAGAAGGTTCAGATGACTTTTAGCTATTCCTTTTGTCAAAAATCTACTTCTATGTAAAGTGGTATTATCATAGATAATATAATTTCTGCCAGCAAGTTGTCCATCATTTCCTTTTCGTGTTTATCACCTTTTGTGGATGATTTGACAAATAGAGTCGTTAAGCACATTTGAACCAAATTCAAAGTTCTTATCGTTAAATTAACCTGTTTAAAATAGAGACCGTGCCAGTGTGTACCAGAGATGAGCACAGGACCAGATTTTCCGTCCTGCCCTGTTCACCGCACGCTATGATCTTATCCTGCCGCTCAGCAGGTCAGGACAAAATTTTTTGTTTCCTCCTGCCCTGACCACCGCGCGCTATAATCTTAACCTGCCGCTCAGCAGGGCAGGGCAAAATTTTTAGTTTCTTCCTGCCCTGGTCTCCGCACACAATCCTATCCTGCCGCTCCACAGGACAGGACACATGTGCTAAAAACAATGCATGTTTAATCTTTTGTTAAATAAGGCATGTATTGCATCTCTTTCAAATTATATAACGAAGATCTTTACACACCCATTGCGCACACAACTTCTTTATTTGATCAACATCCTTCTCATTTAATTTCAATGCTTTTTTAAATCCATATTGTGGAAGAGTAGACTGTGCTGAAGATGAATTACCGGATTGATCATTTAATATAGAAGATAATGATGTGTTGGATTCTTCGATATTTGTAGATGATGATGAAGTATTGGATTCATCAATCGTTATAATAGATGATAAAGGCATGGATCTAGTACATTTATTTTACCCGGGTAAAGTTAGCGCCAGATTCGAATTTTTACCGTCCGGATTCGCTACTGTACTTGAGTTATATTTGATTAAACTTGAGCT